CTCGGTGCTGAGGCGGGGTCTGGTCCTTCCCCGCACGGTTCTTGCCCTCTGCTCCTGTCTCCTTAGCTGTTCTTGGGTTGTGGGAGGCCATTTGCCTTGCTAACCTGGTCGGTCACCTTCTCTGGGAGCAGTAGCGGTGGCAAAGGGTGCTTACGTTAGCTCTGATTGCAAGGCTGAGTCCAACCCTGCCCTGAGGTAGCTGGGCCTGTGGGCCTTCAACTAAAGGGGATCCCCTTGCTTAGGCAGGGGGATGCACTGGCCTGGGGTGTTTTTGCCATCCTTAAGCATGGATGTGTCTCCTCCCTTCAGACTGCAGAGAAAGGGGAAGGCCTGTCCTGAGAATCTGTGCCACTGAGGGTTACAGGCTTAATTAAAATGCAGATGGATGAGAAGAAGAGCCAGAAGGGGGGATGTTTTGATGTGTTTCTGTTTAGATTGTGAAAGAAAACAGCCTAAGTTTAGAGGTTGCTTTCAGACGTGATCCCTTGGCTTTGGCTGGAGATGGCTTCAATGTGGAGAGCATCTTCCAGGGTCCTTTGAAGAGCTGTCAGGCTTGGTGCCAGCTCATACTTCAGAACATCTTTCAAGGCTTGTGCTTTATATAAATACATATACACACAATATTTTCATTACTGAGCTCTGTGAACTCGTGGGAGGTCTGTGCAGATGTACACTAGAGGGAGATGGTGGCTGGGATACAGCTGGTCTAGGCATGTTCACTTGTGCACGTGTGCAGCTGTCTCTTAGTTTCAGCTAGTGCAGCTTCTTAATTAATAGTTTTAAGTGAAAATCCAGGATCTAATACCACTGATTTCTTCAGTGACTTGAATCTTGCATGATTTGCTTGTACAAGAAGGTTCATGAGTTAAGGCACTGAATTATTAAAACTGACTGGGTGTAACCTGGGCTCGTGTGCGCTTGTGAACAGTGGTAGCATGTGTACTAATGCAAATGTTTTATTAGCAGACAGAACAGTATCAGCAAAATGGCGACTGCTCAGAAGCAAAGGAGTTCGATGGTATGATTTTATTATGTATTTCAGCACAGTAGATTATTAACGATCAGGACAAAGTGGATTTTAGCTGAATTAATGCACCCGAGTGCTTTGTGAGCTTTCTGGGCTTGAAAAGCAAGGCTAATTTAATTCTTCTGTATGAAGAGAGAGGCTTAGTAGCAAAAGAGATTGAACTTCGGGGTCGCACATTTGGTAGGAGTCAGCTATGTTCTAAGACCATAGTAATACGAAGTGTTAAAGAGTATGCTTAGCTTTATAAATGTCGAAAGTCGTACTTGTCAATTAACTTAAAAAGTTAAGTAGGCAGTGGACCAAATTGTGGTCCGCAGTGGTCTAGAATGGTGGGCGTGACACAAGTTGGCGGTTGTGAAATAAGAGCAAGGGCTACTTTTGTATAAGTTTCCTTGCTATTAAAAAAAAAAAAAATCTAGGGAAGAACATATAGTGAGCTAATGAGCAAAAAAGCGTTTTTCATTTGTTTTCAGCTGTGAAGAAAAACAAGTCGTCCATAATAGAGGCTAATGCTTTTTCTTTTTCTAACTTTTAGAATGCAGTTGTATTTCCTAATAAAATATCTACTGAACAGCAGTCTTTGATATTAGTGAAGAGGCTCCTGGCAGTAGCCGTATCCTGCATTACATATCTAAGAGGAATCTTTCCTGAAAGTGCCTATGGAACAAGATACTTAGATGGTAATGAGCTGTTTTCAAGATTCTCTGCACAGTCTATTGTTATAGGGATGTTGTGAAGCTTAAATGAGGGCTTTTAAAGTCCGTTGCTCTTTCAAATTAATAGTAAAGTTTCGTTTTAGCAATTGAAAGTGGCTAATACAATCATTACTGAGTTTTATTAAAGGTAGTGATGAAGGTAACTTGGCAAATAAAATTATGCCTCAACCTGTCAGTAGTGTAAATTTTAGTCTGTTCTTTGACGTACGTTTTTCAGAGAACGAACTTCACTTTCTTAGTGCTGTAGTTGCATAAACTAAGCCTTTATAGGTTAAAAAAACTTCTTTCTGTTTGCTTTGAGATCTCTGTGTCAAGATTCTGAGGGAAGACAAAAACTGTCCTGGGTCTACTCAGCTGGTGAAATGGTATGTTAGCGACAGTGCATCTGTAACAGTTTTACAGTGTGTAAATTCTAGAAACTACCTTCCTTGTTGTTTTCAGCTATAAAAAAAAAAGTTGACTTGCTGCAAGTGATCAACTGCCCTCGTGTTTTTGTGCATGGTAGTTACTATGTACAGATTTCTGTATGGAAAATCAAAATGTGTTCCTTTCTCTGAAGATGTAATTGACTTGTACAACATTTCTAGAAAGGCTTACAACTCACTGCTTAATAGAGCACAAATGTTGGTTTATGGAATTATGATGCTGTATGCCCGGTTTTCATTGGTATATGTGACTATTCAAGGTGCAGATAAATGCAAGAAGCTAGCTGGTAATTCCTTTATAGTTGAATATGAGATGCAGTGTTTTCATGAAAGTTAAACCTGTTACCTTTCTTGCATCTTGTGTTTGAAGGTCTTGCTCTGATTTGTATAAGCAAAAATGGTACTGTTGGCCTTTATACTGAAAATCAGAGTTCTGTCTGCAAATCATAGTCTGTTTATATGTTCATACAGTTGAGTGTAAACATGTCACTTGAGACCAGAGATGCTTGCTTTGGGGGGGGTTTTGTTTGTTTGTTTCTCCATGATAATTGTAGATTATCAGCCATATAGAACATGGCTGCTCTTCCTCCTGTTTGGAAACAAGGGTATAAGGCAAAGAGCATCAGATAAACATTTGCTTTTTCATCTGCCCGTAGAAATGGACTCCTTCACAGCTATGTTTGAGAATGGACTTGCTTATCTTGTTTTTTTTCCTGCTGTGCTGCTCTCTGATTGCTGAGATGTTTGTTGCCTACAGTTGATTCACTACAGGACTTCATGCTCCATCAGGAAATGTCAGGCAACTCCTGTGGTCCTCAAAGCCATGCAGTTTTGAAGCTTAGAGGTTGAAGGGTGCAGCCGTTTCATGCACAGGCTTCAGTTGTACTACAGGTTGCATCAAATTTTTTTCAGGAAACCAATAAGGTGGAATCACCTTCCACACGGAGAATGCATTGTAATAAAGCTTAAGCTGCCTGCATACACTGCAAAGATATTTCCTTTTTTTTTTTAATACCTCCATACAAGAAGTTTTTGTTCTTTTCACACTTGTGCCAGTCATAATACAAAGTGAAGCATCAGAAATAATGCTGCTTTCAGCAGAGGGAGCTTACAGCTACTGCAGACGTAGGTCTGAGTTGTGATGTTAAGAGGTGTAACTGGGTCGTGCAGTGTTTGAATGTATGTGTACCATCACTCAGATGGGAGGAGGGGAAGGAAAACAAGGCTTCCTCGCCGTAACCTGGAATTTCTTAATTGATCTTCTGTGGTAGAGAATTGAAGTGGCACCAAGTCACCTTACACTCACGCACCAAACACTAGCAAGGGCAGTGGCATGGCGTGCCTGTGGATGCTGACGAGAAAATGCTCTCTGGTTTCTGGGTGAAGGGTGTGTGCCACCTGTTTGGAGCTTTCGGGTAAGTAGCATTTCTTCACTTGGCATGTACACATGAAAAAAGATTCTTGCTTGTTTCCTACATTCCAAAGAAATGTTAGCAAAAATTAGGGGGTAAGTTCTTAGTTCATTACTTGTCTATTTCTTGCATGTTTCTGTTCCATAAAAAGTAAATTGCAACATCTGAATAAAGGTGATAACAGGACTCCTTTGTGCTTCAGAGAGATCTGTATTCAGTTGAAATAGTTAAACTTATTGATTAATGAATACGTATGTTAGAAAGTGCTTGAAAATGATGGGCATACAATTACATTACGTTTTTACTTATAAATTATTTACTTACAGATTATATTTTTACTTATTCTGCAAAGAGGTTAGGATGATTTGGGGTGTTACAAAGATAGTAATTACTTATATCTATTACTACTAATAAAAAGACAGAATAATGGAATAAGCATTATTTATTACTCCAGTAATTTAATATTAAGAAGACTAAACACAAGAATTTCATTTTGTGGGAATATTTTATTTAATCAGAAGCAAAGCAAATGGAAATTAGTAGTAGATGGACAATATTATTTGATTTTTGCAGGATGTTAGGATGCTATGATGCCTTGCAGAAGAAATATGTAAGTCTTCCACTATAATTTAAATGTATTGAAACATTCATTTATATAATTCCACTAGCTGCCACTGTAGTTATAGGACTTTCTGGTTGTGGAATAGCTATGCTTTAACATGTTACAGTGCGGGATGGACACATTTCAGGAAAATATTCTTTGTAAGCAAAAACACTTTAAAGCGAGGAGAACTTAAGAATTTTCTTCAGCCAGCTGAGCAAGTTCGTTCTTAAACAGGTCAGGAATTTAAGCATACAAAAAGCTTCCTTTCTTAGGACTACAGTAGCCTATATTGACTTGCAGAGCTAAAGAAACAAGCAAGCAGAAGTAAGCTATGAAATAAGTTTAATGTGCTTTTTTTTTTTTTTAATTCTTTAATTATGTTCCCAACAGCTAAGAATGATTGTCCTAGCGGTAAGTATCTTTGAAAAGTGTGGCCTGCTTTTTAAAGTAAATACTTAGATACGTGTACAGTTCTTAATCTGTTTCTTGTCTTTATTTTAAAAATACAGGTCTACACCCATCCAGAAGATCCTCAGGTAAACCTGGCAGAATCTTTCATTGGATGACTAATGATAATCCTTATAATCCGTCCTTATCATGAAATACATGAATATAATAAACAGCCCTTACACGTGTAGAAAAAGACTTATTTTAAAATAGCAAATGTAGCAATTGCTGGGGCTAATCAGCAATGCGCAGTGTATTGCCTTTGAGTATCTAGTATCAGGCTGTTTTCAGGAAAGTGCAAGAAACTGCAAGTGTAATTGTGGAGTTAAATGCCTGTAAAGAACGCATCCTTCTACCCCTCTGTAACAAATAGATTTATGGAATTTCTTTGGGGAAGAGACAGTATGTTTTAACTAGCCACTGGGTGTCACCATATCTCTGTATGATGTGTGTGAAATATTTTTATAGTGATTAAAATTTGAATTGATCATTTCCTTTTAAAAACTGAACTCAAACTTAGTTTCTCTCCAAACATGTTATGATGGTGATTCCTGGAAAAAAAATTAAAAGATCTTTATTTGATGACAGCTATGTATATATTGAAATCATTAATTGTTACAGCATTAGAAAGCTATTCATCAGAAAAGAGCTATGTGAGCTATCACTTCATTGTTTTGTTTTGTTTTTTAAAAAAACAAGGTTAATAGGTTACTGGACAAAAAGAAACAGCAGCAATAGTGTATTTCTCTTGACAACCGATAGTTCAATAACTACTGCGTTTGTTCGTAGACAATTACAGAATGTTACCACTTCAAATTCAAGTACACCCAGAACGGGCCACTCCTGGATTTCAGCAGGTATTGTCATCTTGACTTTTTTCTGCTCTGTGGTTTTACAGTCCCTTCAGTACACCAGCCTTAACTAAAAACTTAATTCAGTTTTTATCTGTTCAGTCTTTTCTTGTTTCTGGATCTTAATGACTTGGATTTTCAGAAAACATGCCGTTAAGCTAGACTTACTCTGAAAATGTGGCAAATCTTTTTATCAGATTATGGGCATTTGCAAGGAAGCTGCTTATTTTAAGACAAATAATTGAAATGTAGCGAGTTCTTACCTAGCAGAAACTTACTGCAGCTTTCCTCTTGCGTAAAATGTTTTTTCATTTAAGTTTGGGCTGTTTGCAGGCACCAAATGTGACTGCTTCCCTCTGAAGGAGGCCACAAGTCTTGTGAACGGCACTGGTGGAAGGAGACGTGAATCTGTATCTTGGCTGCTCCAGGCTAGTGTGTTAGCACAGGCTCACACCAGACTGATTTGGGGAAGAAAACAAAAGACTCTGTTTTAGTGGCAGTAAGGTAAAGTTTGGGTCAGCTGCTTGTAGAATGGAAGACTGAAAACTTCAGAACTGGATGTCGAGAGGCCGTAGATGTGTACTTCCTAATCAGTAACCATTTCTGTCAATAGCGGTGTCTGTAATGATTAAGGGAACAGATATGTGAGAGTTACGTGCATTTGAAAGCCCCAATCCTGGTGGTACTTTCTTTTAGATATGGGTGCTTTTCAAGCATTACATATAACGGTCGTCACTACTGAACCATGAAGTTGTCCCTGGCTCAGAACTTGATCTTTAAAAGAGTAAAGAACACACAGCTCGCTTAAACTGTATTGGGAATTGCAGTGCTTGTAAGCCCAGAACAGAGCTTGTATGATGAACGTGGTATCTTCTCTAACGTGTGTAGGTTCTATTAAACAGTTGTATATTTTAATACTAATACAGTTCAGCCTATATAAAAAATCTGAATACTTTGTCTCTTTCTAGTAAAAATAAACGAAACGATTCCACAATCACATGTGCAGACACAAAGAAAGCAAGTGTCCTCCTCATTCGCAAGATATATGTTCTGATGCAAAACCTGGGTCCGCTACCAAATGATGTTTGCTTGACTATGAAGCTGTTTTACTATGATGAAGGTAGTATTTTCTGTATTACCTTGAATTATCAAGTGTATTCATAGGCATCTGAAAACAATTTAAAGAAACATTTTCATATATAATCTTGAGAGTTGCTAGAACTTGTTACAGGAAACTATTTTGCATGTTTTCAATGACTTCTCACCCCTTACTTTTCAAAATTCAAGGAGGGCAGACTTGTTCTCATTGTAGGAACGCAGTCTTACCATAGACTTCGTTGGAGCAAGGATTTCAGCATGTTTTTAAAACGAATCGGATTTTTACGAATATGTTAAGACCAAACCGCCCCAACATCTGTTTGCTGGACTAGTTCGGCTAACTAGTTAAATAGCTAGCACTAGCTACTACTTTCAGACCATATTATGGCTTTATAATAAAAAAACAAGAGCTTCTAGCTCATGTTTTTGCATACATGAACTGATTCAAGCTGCTTTTTTTTTTTTTGCCTACTGTGTAGAGGAAAGAACTGCTTTTAGTACAGATTGAATATTGATTATGCTCTTCCTTCAAGACCTTTTTTGACTAGTTCTTTCTATTTAAAGAGGAGAAGAGTCTGTTTCATCTGCACAAAAATGACTTCTACAAGAACATGCTTTATTATAACATAACATTTCATAAATTCTTCTCTGCAGTTACACCACCTGATTACCAGCCTCCTGGCTTTAAGGAAGGTGAATGTGAGGGCATGATATTTGAGGGGGAGCCAATGTGTCTAAACGTGGGTGAAGTGCCAACACCTTTTCATATGCTGAAAGTTAAAGTTACAACTGAAAAACAACGAATGGAGAATGCTGATAAAAGCATACTAAAGCAAGGAGACACTAATGTGCCTCTACAGGTGCTCAAACTGGACAAAGATGATACAGAAGAACAGAACCAGCGCATGCATGTAAGAGCTCAAATGTTTTATGTAACGTATTGAAATGTTCTGTGATTTATATTCTAGCAAAGGGCCATTAATCCTTTTACTGCATCTCGTGCAAGACTTTTTTAGTAGAGCATTTGGCGTTTGCAGATACGTTTGGGCAAGATAACCTATTTTGCTGCGTGTTTGTTTCAATTTTACTGTTCCCATCGGCAGTCTGTCATGGTTAAAGCGTATGCCAGTATTGAACAAGTGCATAATGCCTGTCAGCAGCTTTATTGGTAGTGTCATGTCACTGCAAGGCTAGGTAGCAGTGGCAGGGTGAGAAGCTGAGTAGCAGCTTTGTGACGCAGGTGCGTGGTGCTGCCTGGTCTGCTTGGAGCACGGGGTACATGAGAAGCCTTCACCTTGGGACTGTCCACAGGGCTGACCCATACCAGTCCCGGACAAATGGTAGCAGTCAAGCGGTACTGATGTGCAATGAATTTGCTCTGAAGCCTGGTTTCTGGGATGCTTCTGTACAGCAGTGAACAGAGCTGGTGATGGCACAGCTAAAGTTGCCCCAAACCTGATTCTTCGTGGGTTGTGTGTTTGTTCTTCCCTCCACCCAGGAAGTCTGTCCAGAACAATGCCGAAACAAACCTGTCAAATGCATAAAACGTGCAACAGATTGTGGATCCAGCTGTTGAGACTAGAGCCTCTGAGACAGCTCTTGGGGTTATGTTAGTGCAGGCTTCAATAATTGGAGGCATATATTTCTGGTATCAGCTGAGGCGGGCAGTGAATACCTTTAGGAGTGCTGAAATGGGGAAATACCTGTGTATCTTCACCATAGGTGAGAAGGAGGTGGAGCTTCAAGGACTGTGGCCCCTCCCCATCGATGAGCAGTGCCCAGGGGCCTGTAGGGCTGCATGATGGGAATAGCTCGGCCCTCCCTTGATCTGCATATGCCTCTAAATTGCTGTTTCACAGGCAATATAGAGGTGGTAATTGATGCACTGATAGCTTTGTTTTAATATCTACTGTTATGATTTTAATATTTTGAATGGATGTGTTTCTTGATAAGTAAATTAAATGTATGCTTGTATTGCTCATTAAGTAACATTGAGCTGGTCTGTACTTTCCATGTTAGATTTAATTATTTTAATGCAGTTTATTCCACTGAGAATCTGTCTAATAAGATCTGGCTCTAAGCATCTGTGAGTAGGAACCCTCTTACTTGTCTGCAGTAAGTGATAGACCTCTTCTTTAATCTAGGAAGATCCGGTCTTGGATAATAAAGTGGAAGATAGGAAAACCATAAATATTTCGGAAGCTGAAGGTAACTTATATGTATTTTTTTCAGTTTGTGCCTCTTGCTGGTGTTACTGACATGAGAATTCAATTTGCTAACATACAGTACTGTTTCCAAACTAACACTTTATTTTCCTCTCCTACGTTGCTATTCCTTTCTCTTCTATCACAGTTTTGTTGTGAAGCACTTTATCATATGCGTGTTTTCATTTTTCTGTTCTGAAATTCTAATACTTTGTTCCATTTTTATCAGAATTAAAGCTAAACTTAATAGGTTACATACTTCAAAAAAATTTACTTTTTAACCAATATACTTCTGCATAAAAATTGCAGAAGTAATTCAAGTAGTCTTGTGTCTGTCAGTGCAGAATTCTGCAAGAAAACATGGTCAGATCTATTTTCATTGAAGTCACGGATGTTTGGACTGTATTCGGACAGCTTCAGTCATTAAAATTCAGCAGCAACATTGCTTTTAGCCATGTTTTTTCTTCAACTTTGACTACAGTAGGACCATGATCTGATTCTGCAGTCCATAGCTGCTTCATTCCATACAACCGTGAATCAAATGAGACAATTGGGGCTCATGTACACAGAGTTTACTGTATGGAAGACTGAATTGTATCATATGGATAGATGCTTTGTACAAAGAAAATAAACCCAGGTAAAAAGTAAGTGGTTAATTACTGTGGTTTTCTGTTTCTGATACAATCGGTAATTTCATTTCAATATATTTCATTATATGAACAACTGTGTGGTTATGTCTGTGCTGCTGGCTATTTGAGTGACTTTTCCAGCTGCGTTCTCTCACAGCTTTACTACACGGTTGACCTGTGTGCCCTCTTCTCTTACCAGGTACATTGAGCATTTAGATAATCAAAAGTGAATTTTCATACTTATTTTTAGTAGGCACGGATTCTAATGAGGCATGCTTATTAGTGCAGATCTCAGCAAGCTGGATTTCTTCAAGTAAAATCCTAACACTGGTTTGTCAGTGTGAAACTACAAAAACAATTTTTGAGTAGCAGCAAAAAGCAAATTCTCAGCTGAAGTCTATTACAAAGCACTTGTCAAGAAGGTACCAATGATATTACCTCTGTATAAAAAAAAAAAAATCTGATAAAACTGCTGTAATAGGCAGTTAAATTTGAGAATTCCGCAGAGTATAAATGACATTTTATGTTTAGGAAGCATTCTGAGTGCTCTAACGCTGCAAGACAAAGTTGCCTTCTCCCTTGTTATCAAATAAATGATTATGCCTTTCTCGCTATGCAGGACATTAGGAAGTACCTGCTGATCATTTCTGATGAAAAACAGCAGCACCTGTCTTGTTGGATTTTTCTTAGCCTTTATAAGTAGATATTTCGTGCTGCTTGCTTACATGAATCATATAAATGTCCTCCACTGCGAGCTCTGAAAGCAGAAGTGCAAATAAAATAACTGACCTGGCTATAGTGGCCTGACTGCATCCACCTCCAGAAATTCTCCCTGGCAGAACCCTATTGTCTTTCAATCAGTGTCCCAGGATTTGGACCCGGGCTGTCTCAAACGTGCAACATTGTACTGCAAACCCTAGAGAGCAGTACACCAGCCGCCTGTTCTTAGTGATCTCTGAGCAGAAGTTTCCCTTTAGTAAGATCTCAAAGAACTTAGGAGAAGTAGAAAATGACACATCTTCCAGTCCCCTAAACCTATGGGGATGCTCTAGGAATAGCACCTCACATTTAGGGGTCGCACAAAGGCTGAGCTTTGCCACCAAAGGAACTAAAGAATGAGTTATTCCTTTGTTGTCTTGCTCGGTTTGGAGAAGCTACATAAGAAGCATCTGGACAGCATCAGTTTGCCGTACGTAAAGCATTTTGAACTTAAGAAAAATCAAAAAGGGGAAATACTATGCAAATTTCTGGAAGAACATAAAGTAGAGATGATGTAGGTAAGTATTCTCAGAAATGGTCTTGATATGCTCACATAAAATAGCTAAAATAAAAGGATTTCCAAGCTGTGAAATAAAAAGGGAATTTTATGACCAAACCCAGAATCTGGAGGAAAAGCCTATATTTGGATGAGACTCCTCCAGAAAACTTTTTTTTTTTCTGTAGCAGAGGCACCTGTGGATATATGAATATATGGTACCTAGAAGAAAAGCCCGTTAGTGCTGCTGCTTGCTCTCTACTCACTTTCCTTCAGCGTTTCCCTATAGTTGTATCCCCTTTGAAGCGTAATTTAGGTTCTGCAGCCTTCAGAAACAGAAATTCTCATAAAAACTTCCAGAAACATCACTTTCCATATAACAAAACCAGCAACTCTGTTATGTTGAGGCTTTTGGTCCTTCTGACCCAAACAGGGCTGTCAGCCTATTTGGGTTACCATGGTTTCTGAGTGGTTGCAAAGGGAATTGGACAAAGCAAAGTCTGGATTTTTCCAAGTGGATTGCGGTGTCCTCTAGTTCAAGCCCACCACAGTTTGCATTGGTTGCAATGTGCAAGCCATATTTAAATAGTGGCACTTAACAGGGTTGGGGTGTTGTTTTTTTTCCAGAAATGTGGCAACTATATGAAAGAAGCAAACTTACTTCCATACTGCTTAAAAAAGAGGGGGGGGGGGAACTTCATGGGTTAAAAAAACCGAGTCTCTCCAGAACTAACTGTTCATTCTTCCTTCCTACTCCTCCTCCTTTGTGGCCTGTTTGTGCAGCTGCATGCAGTGACGAGGGGAACTGTAGTTACAGAAACTGCAGCCAAAGTTGCTCTGTTGTGTGTGGCTGCGTTACAAAATGGGAGCCATCTGCTGGCAGTGGGCTTCAGAAATTGCAGGAGCTGTGCCAGTCTGGCCATGACATGCTGCATGCCTGTTAGGCCAGGCAAAACAGTCAGTGAGGCTTTTTACTTTGAAATCAACACTCATGTAGACAAGCCTTTAGCTTGTATATAAAGAAGAGTCAGGGTCAAGCCCACCCTTCCAAGGATATTTTGTGTCAATCTGTACTACTTAGCATAAGCATGTCTCCTATGTGCCTGTGATAGGAAATCGTGTAAATAAAAATCAGAACAGTTGAACTAAAGATTAAAGACAGCATAATGCTTGGTAAAGTTTAGCTGTTTACGTGCACAGAGGAGAGCCTTTCCAAAGTGCCTGTTCATTGCATTTTTAAAGCGTGTATTTTCCTTGTGTCAAAACATCAGAGTTAGGATGCTGTTAGTGCATTTTCAACTGTGTACTTTATTCTTTAATGTTTTTCTTAGAACCAAATTTAACTTGTGAAGAAGACGAAATTACAAAGGCCGAAGAGAATCTGAATCCGTATGTTTCCAATCGCCAGGTATGAAGATAGTACCCTTTCTGCCTCCTTAAAAACTTTTCCCAGAGCTTTTGCGAAGTTTCTTTGCTACTATTTTGGGTTACCTCAAGCAATTAATGGGTGATCTGCTAAAAGTTTATTTACCATAATCAGCATTTTCAACAATAAAATGTGTTTATATTTTACGTTTCAGTCTTCCACAAAAAAAAGATTGACAATCTAAAGGGCTAATCAAAAGTAGTAACAAAAGGCTGTTGTTTTCTTCTCCAGAAATTGTTGTTTCCAAAAGAAATAGATAATCTGAATAACAGTAGAAGAACTGGGAAAATAATTTCCATGTTTGTAAAACTGTTGTAGTCATATACCTTTCCTAATAGAAATTTCTCTGCTCAAATTCTAACAGACCAAAATACTTGATTAAAGCCTAGGATAAACACAAACATTAAGTAATAGTCAAAACAGACAGTATTCCATGAATATAGCAAAATTGTGTAATCTAAGCATGGAGGACTACTCCAAACACAGGTCCTTAAGATGTCTTGTGCAAAGACTTCTGCAAAATAACCCCACGTGTCTGCAAGTGACTTAACGGATAAAAATCACTGATGCTTTGATTTGTCAAGGCAGTTGAACGCATGTAGCTTTAAACAGTTCTGTTGACTTCAATATTCATGCGCTTAAATTTCAGTTCAAGTGCTGTGGTTTGTGGAGCCAGAGCTCTTGGTAAAGTACAGGACTGAGCCCTGGAGTTGCCCCTAAAATACAGTTGTTTTTTTAACTGCTGTCATAAGGCTAACATTTGTTTTCTGATTTTAGGTCGATCATTTAGCGCATAAGACATCTGAACTTCACATGTCAGAGAGCAGGACAAGAAGTGGAAAGATATTTCAAAGCAGCGCTGTTAGTATCAGTTTTCTATTTCTGTTTTCTGCTCTTTCTAAGCCTTTTTCTGTTCCAAAGAGAAAAAAATTCTCAAGTTTTAATAGAATACATGTTGAAAGAAAGATTCTCATCACTTAGAAAATTCCTATTAGCATCAAAACATTTGGATTCCTAGTGTCAAAAAAAAAAGTCTGTTCCAAAAAATTAAAAGCTGAGCATTACAGTAGTTACACAGGTTGAGAAAGATTCATTAGGATTGACTTATTTTCTCAAGAATGCATTTAGCCAAATTCCCTGCTGGTTTAATCCATTGTTGATATGTGTGTGTGCCAGTAGAGATCCCAGCCCAGCGTACCATATGATCACTAGTGATTTTACTTGGAAAACACAGAGCCATAATTCTAACCTCAGATGTGTGACTCATTCATACCAAGAAAAATCCATTATTTCTTTGGTTATTCACATTGCAGCAGACTTATTTAGTCTGTGCTACTGTGGGGAGCCAGATTCCTTGAGTCTTGTACAGGTGGAATAGAAGTTGTCTTTAGGATGGAGCTTGGCCTTAGGAGAGGGTATTGGGTACTCATCTGTCTGTGGCTGCTGCCATTACCCACTGACCTTGGTAGCTTTAGCGTTTTAAGGCTAAGGGGAGCCTCTAGTCTGTATAAACCTGGAATTGTAGCCTCTGCTCTGTGCGGAACTTGCCACAGTACATGTATAGTCACTTTGCTATACCTCTATGTACCTCTTATTTGTGAACATTGAGAGTTATTGGTATGCTTTTCTCAGAAAAAGCAATGGGGTGAATACTACCGTTCTTGTAAATAAAGGCTCTTCATCATTTACAATCAGGAGAGGAAATTACATGTCATGGCTAAGGAAAATCATACCCTTCCTGTCGCCACTCAGGAAAGCTCTTCATTAATTTTTAATGCAGGTTACGGAACAGTAGTTGCATAAGGATTTATAATGTGCTACTCAATAGTTGCCAGTAGTCGTCTTCTAAACTAATAGTTGCTTTATTTCCAGAAAGGTTGATGAAAATCAAGCTTGGGAACATTGCAAAATCCGTTCCTCGGCAAAATGTTCTAAAGAAATCCAGAAGAGAAACTGGTCTGGGCCATAAAGTGTGAAAGCAGCATGCAAAAAGAGCTATCTAAGTTTGCCACAAATTCACAAAGCGGAGACATAAAATTCGGAAGATTTTGGTCATTTTCAAAAAATACTGCTTATCACTATTAGAGTGACCCTTTTTTACTTCCAACCTCAGGTTCATAAGCAGTATTTTTGAGGTTTGTTAGTCACTACTGTAAAAAAGAGCATTATTTTCTGTATGCTCATTTGTCAATATGAACTTAATAGAATTTTTTAAAATGCGTTGTTTTAAATAAGCAGAAGCACAACAGGACTGAAGGCTAAATTCTGGTCGTTTCCTACATGTCCAAGTCAGAAATAATTTGATAAAACCAGCAGGCCTATGTGGTGCAGATTGCCCTTTCCTGTCAATATGGGGCTCTCCGGTGTCACACAGAGCCTTCCCTGTGTCACCTGGAGCTGCTCTACCGTTATCTTGAGCCACTGTGTGCCTCACAGCAGCTCCTGGAGTTGGACTTTCGGGTTTCTTGCCTATACGGAGGGCAGATCTGGTCTGGGGAACAGTCCTGAGAGGTAAACTTGGTACATTCTGCTGAAGCGTTACACGTGGGAGTTCCTGCCCTTACAACATAAATACATCTAAGCTGTTCTATAGTAATTTCGGTGGGAAATTCTTCGAGAAAATAGTATCCAGATATTATTCCAGGCTTAACCCCTTTGGGCATGTACCAGATAATGGCACGGACTGGATGCTCAATGCACAGCTTCTGACACATCACACCGCCGAGTCTTACTCGGTGATTTCCATGTTACGCTTGCTAATGCAGTGGAGCAGGCCATAGTTTGTGCAGCACAGCAACCAGTAATGCAGTATTTTTCCTTGGCAGGTTCATCAATTTGAACTCTTCTCTAGTCAAGATGTGCTACCAAAAAGGAGAAAAATTAGTGAACCAAAGGAGCAGTTTTAGACATCCATCTCCCTGCTGTTCACAGAATTCACCTCAATATTGCTTCGATTCGTTGTTTAATATGAATGTTAATATTTAAATACCATTTGGGGATCTTTCCTGTTTGATTTGTAGTCGAAATGTAGTGTATTTTATATCTAAGGGAAAAAAAAAATCTGTCAAGCCCAGTTGAAGAAATTGTAAGTTTTTTTTTTTATAGAAATGTGTATTGCCATCTGGAAAGATAGAAGGTACTTAGCTAATGATGCAATCTCTGAAAAAAACATCCATAACAAAGATGATTTGGGGGGATTTGATTCTCTGCTAACACTGTGTGTGTGCCCATTAACTGAAACACGAGGATATTTCGCTGATCGCTTTATCTGGGCTGTATTTAAAACTCGGGAACTCCTTGTTCGGAACCTACCCAACAGGGCGTTAAAAACTGAGCTCTCGGGTTAATTTCTGGAGCTTTATCAAGCAGGTTCAGGAGAACTGTGTTGTCAGTTACAGCAATATTACAGATTTTCTTTTTACTACATAGTAAGCAGAACTACTGGAGGTTTAGGTGGCCTGATTCCATGTATTTCCTCCAGACTCAAGGCACCAGACTCGAGATAAAAAGCATTATTCATATCTTCATATTTCACACCAAAATGCAGGATTTGCATAGAGCTGTGATGTGATCTGTGTGTAATTACAAGCAAAGTGCTAATCTGTGGCAGGCATCTATTATATTAGTGTAAGATGGAAAAACTTGAAAAACAAACCTATATGTATGTGAAATGATTAATTGCAGGAGTCAAAGGGTGCCATTTTTATTCTTCCTAAACAATTAATTGTTACTTTTTGTGTACTGTGAGTGAATTGGAGTGAAGCTGTTTATGCATGGCTAAGGGCTACTGCTGTGTTTAAACTGGATATGAATAGCTGAACATTTCTCTTTTTTTGATTAACATCTTTTTATCCTATTCCTCAATTAAAAGAATGTTATCTAACAGTTTGCATGTTTCTTGACCACTCTGATTGGAGTACGTTTTTTGAGTTTTAATGAAATGCTGGTAATATTTTGGAATTCTAGCTTAATAGGGTACAGCCACTTCATTTTGTTTGAACCAGGCTGGATGGGGACCACACAGCTTTGATGGGAGTGGAGGGCTGTGGGCAGTGGGTCAGAGTAGGCAGGGAACAAATTCAGTGAAGAACACGGAGGTGGTGAATGTCTTCTGGTCTGTGTCCATCCCGTAGCTGCAGATCTTCCTTCTGCCTGGTGGGCTTTTCAGACTGCTCTGTTACCCTGTGTCCCAGATCCGGGCTCCCCGCTCGCTCCAACGCTGCATTTTTGTGTGTGTTTTTGGCCAAGGGATTGGATATTAAAGGAGCTAAGCTGGCACAATGTTCAGGTGTTATCCCTTTTCCCTCAAAGCTGTCCAGAAGTGCCTTCTAGAGAACCATCAGACTGCCTTGGAAATGCAGAGTCTCCTTGTGCAGCCTTGTAATATTTTAATCCTTTCGTCTCAACTGGTGGCAATGCTCTCCTCTCGAGGAAGGCTCCCTTCCCTTGAGTTATCCCAGAGGGCAGAGAAGGAGACTAGTTGAAAGGATGTTTTCATAGTGAAAACTAGCTGCACTGGCAAGAAGGTTACCTTAAAGCCAGAGCCCTGCCTGTCCTCGGGTGTGGGCTTCAGTGGCAGTTTGGAGAGGGATTCGTAGATTTGCAGCAGCTCATTTCTCTCCAGTTCGTTGCACTGAACCGGATGGCTGGGATTTAATTATCAAACGCTGTCATTGCGTAGCCTCAGGCTTTGCCAGTTTTGCAGTCTGATTTAACAAGATTTCCTTTGCAACTATTTATGAACGTATTTATTCACTTTTACAGCCAAGGGCTCCCCTTTTCCCTGCCTCAAGCTGCTTTCTGCGGGCGGAAGCCTCCCACCAAGCCCTGCCTGACCAACACCGCAGCCTTGCCCTCACCCAGGTGCGTGTGAAAAAACACGTTGCACGATTTGCACAAGGCACCGGCTGCTCCAGCACCCTCTGCCCAGCAAGGCGGCACGGGGAAGCGGGGACCGAGCGCTGCCAGCCCAAGGGGGACAGGCAACCCTTGCCCCAAGCCCCGGGGCCAGAGCCCTGCAGCGCTGCTCCACACCCCGGTGCCTTCCTCCCGGAGAGGAGGAGGAGGAGGAGGAGGAGAAATCCCACCCTCTGCCTCCCGCGCTGCCTCGGCCCGCTGGCCGCGCTCATTGGAGGCTCCTCGCCTTGGAGGCTCCCATTTGCCGGCGCTGCGCACCGGGCTGGCTTACCGGGCACCCAGGAAGCCGCCAGGCTGCTCCCTCCCCTGCCTCGGCTCACCCAGGAAGCTTTTTCTCTTCCCCGGCTCCAAAGTTTGCTCGCAGGAGCCTCGGGGAAAGGGGGGGGGACCCGCCGAGCACGGGTAAGGCTGGCTGAGCCGTTCCGGGGGGGGGGGGGAAAGTTGTCAAATCTAATTATTGCTGCGTGGGGGCTTGTGCTGCAGGGAGAGAGGAGGTGGATGTGTCTTTCCGGCTTCTTAATCTGTTCCCGGCGTGTGGAAAAAGGCTGCAGGAAATATTCCTTCCCCCCCCCCCATCCCCGCTGCCCTTGTAGCGCTTAAATCTCAGCCCCTTTCCTGGCTTACAGTGGCTTTTTAACGAGACTCTGCTGCTCCTGCGAGAGAGGGTGATTGGGGACCGAGGGTCGGGTTGAGGATAGGGCAGAGGCTGGGGATTTAGGGTGTTTGTGGAAGGTTTTGGGTTAGCACCCTGGGAGTTTGAAACCAAAAGGGGCAGCTCATTAAGCTCCTTAAACAGATAAATATCAGCTGTGAGCAGCTAAGTTGTAGAGAAGGGAAAATAAAAGGGAGAACAGCCTAGATGAAGGTGCTCCTTTGTCGTTGCCCTGGGGCTCTGCTGGGTATCCAGCATCCAGGACTGGGTGGGAGAGCCTGAGCCTTAACCCCTTCTCCATTACGTGTGCGTGGCCAGGAAGTCCCCTTGGTCAAAAGATTTTGTCGTGACTCAAGTTCCTTGTTCCCTCTCTGAAGGTGCAGTCCTCTCTTCAAACGTGTCGCTAAGTTACAGGCAACCACTCCCTAACGGTGACTCTTGTACAGCCATCCTGGGAGGGGTGAGCTGAAAATTCCCGGGGGAAAAAGGGGAGGGTTCCCTCAACCTTGGGCATCCGTCCCTGGAGTCTGGGTTTCAGGTCTTAGGGCTTCGCGCTGTCGTAGCCCATCGTGTTTAGACGTGGCGCAGCCTTTACCTTCCTGTGCTCCTAGTTGGAGGCGAAGATGACAACGCTAACGCATCGAGGACGAGGAAAGAACTCGGACAAGAAGCCCGACAGCGAGGAAGACGCGGCTGCGGACAGAGACCTGAAAGATGAAGACGCCAATGACTCCAAAGATATCCGCCTCACCCTCATGGAAGAGGTGCTGCTTCTGGGACTGAAGGACAAGGAAGTAAGGCATTTTTCACTGGCGCTATTGCACGTGTAGTAGTGGAAGTGCTGTCTTGGCATATCTGGAAAGGAGGTTCTCAATATGCAGTGGAAGGGATTGTGCGAGTTCCTCTGAATCCACTTCAGTACAAGGTCAGCCTACTAAGCTCAAGCCACCATCATCTGCAGCTGAAACCTAGCTGTGGAGCTGTATACAGAAGCAGTTGATGAGGACCTTGCAAGTGCTGTCCCATCAGCTCTGCCGCAGGGACAGCTGGAGATGAGAGGTGCAATATAGTATTACGTTACTGCCATTTGCAGAGCAGAGACGTGTTTATTCTTTGCCATGGCCAAAGACTTACGGTAAAAGAAGCCACGCTTTGTGTCAGATGGTAAATGTCCTCTTCCCAAACGTAGATAAGCTTTCCTATCTGAAACCAGCAGGTGAAACACGAAGGTCTTTTGAGCACTGTTTACACTTTTCTAAAAATTGATACCAGAAACAGCCGGGGCAAGTTTTGAGAGAAGAGACAAGACGAGAGAGTGCAGCTGGACCAGGAGTTTAAAGCAGGTGCAGAATAAGTTTGAATATGGAAACGATAAGGGAGGTCGGAGCGGTGTCTCTGTTTTCAGAGTGTCCATGTCCTTAGCCAGGGAAGAATGGCATCTTGCAGCTCCAGGCTTCGGGGAAAAGAGGCACTTGCCTTGCCTGATGTGTGCCAGTTTTACAGCTTTCCTGGGCAGCAGTGTGTGAACTTCCCAGATGGTTGTTTTCAGAGAGAGGATGGTCTCTGCTGGAACGTGCATGTGAGCAAACTGATCTGTTTTGTGCTTATCAGCTGGTAGCAACTCGTTGCTCAAGTCTGCCTGGAATGAGCCGTTGGGACAGGAAAAGACAGTATCTTGTACTGAATTCTCCAATCACTTGGCTCTGAGCCGTGGAGCACTTATCTGTTGTTGCGTCTACGTGCTTCACCTTCTTTAATGCATGCGTCTTCTTGATCTCTTTGGGGGAAAGTGATACTTTTATTCCTATCAAACTGATGGGGAAATTGAGGCAAAGAAGCTAACCAGTTGCCCAGGGTATTTCTTGGAATGACGATGGCCGAGGAGAGCCTTAAATGCTGTTTTTTTCAGCTCCACTTCGAGTGCTTTGTGTGAGTCCATCTTCCTGCCCTGAGGAAAGGAGACGTTGTAGCTGTTAAAGCTGTGGTGTGGTTGCATAAGTGACAGAGGCTTGTAGCTGCCCTGTTGAACAAGCCTAGATAAGATCTAGGACTCACCAAGCTGAATAGGAAGTAACAGAAGAGCAAGGCTGTAACAGGAACATCACACAAATAACTTTGGAGCAAATATTAGAGAGTGCTTTGGGAGCATGGCATGGTCTGCTTTCTTCCTGGACAACACTGAGCATTCCTGGTTCGGTTAATGTGTATTTCTGCCTGGTTCCTCATTGCCCTCTCAGAAGAGAGGTGAGAACTCAGGCATGCAGGCTCTCAGTCCATCCTCCTCCCTATTTATTGCTGCTCTGGGAGGAGACTGGGGTCTCTGGAGTAAAGTCAAGTGCCTGGCTCCCTGTTTGCTTAGTTTAACTAGACTAGAACCCAGCAAGCCAGAACTTCAGCCAAGGATCTGTAAATCAAAAATCAGATTTGCCTATTGGAGAAGGTAGGGTCATGTTCTTTTCCAAAATCCTCTCTTTACGATTGTGTTGATGTCAGAATTGACAAATGTCATTGTCCCCCCTCAAAAATAGGGCTTTTAGGGTGGTTCTTCAGCCATTTTTTTTCTTCTGGCTTGGTTCTCCTGTGGGGAGGTGGCATTGTCTGCTGAGTTAATGTTTGATATACCACTGCCGGACATGCATTTTAGCCAGTCACTGAGCATGCAGCTCTCAAGGTTCCTCGGGACGGGAGGATTACTGGCGAAACAGCTCCGTTCCGCTTTGCGTGTTTTTCTCCTCCAAGGTGGTAGCTGTTTTCTACTTCCTTTGCATGCCTCTCCCACTCTGAAAGCATTCCTTAAAGAACATGTAGGAAAGGTTCTCTAATCACCTGGAAAAAACTTTTCACTTTTTTCTTTTTCTTTTTTTTTTTTTTTTGTCCGTCCTTCTGCATTCCTCCATCTCAAAGTCTGTAAAACCAGAAGTAGCAATAGCCTGCCAGCCTGGTAGGGAGCTGGGACCCCAGGCATCAGGTTCTCCCAGCTCTGTCATTGGCACATGATTTGATGATTGGAAAAACTAGGAAATTTTAGCCAAATCCAATGAGCTCACAGTGTAATTTCATTATTTTAAGCGCCAGTCTCTCCATGTGGGAGAAACTGGCTGCACACCAGCCTGACGTTTGTAACCAGTCTGATTTCAGAAGCTGAAATTAACCCAGGAGCTTTCAACTTTTTGGATTTCAGAGCCCCTTAAAACTTTCCAGGGGGGTGTTCCCTCCAGTCCAGTAAATTGAAACCTTCAGTAATCTCCAAGCCCTTTTCTGGAGCACTTCTTTCTAAAGGTCACATGTTAAAAAACAGTGCGTCTCCTGTGGACAAAACTTAGCAGGTCTTAACAGGGCAAGGATGAAGGGTTTCTTTGTCTGTCTTCACAAGGAAATGAAGAAAGCAAATAAAAATTGTAGTTTCTTTACGGTTCTCCGGGTTAAGCAAGCTGAGCAATCCGGTGTCAAAACGCACTGTATAAACAGCCGCTTTGGGAACAAGAGTTTACCTTTGTGGATTGTAAAAACTTCTGTTTAGGAGGGCTGCATGTTCTTAACTTTGTTCCCTTAGCAAAGGGGACTTAACTGGTTTGTTTTGCCTTTAGTCTCCCAGTAACTTTAAAACATGCCCTTTCTCCCCTTTTCCCTGTTCCTACAAGGAAAAAGATCAACAAAAAAGGGAGTTACAACCCTGAACGGGCCACGGCGTTTCTGGCATATCAGCGTCCCAGTGTAAATAAGTACGTTGGGACTCTGCATCCTGTTTTGTTCACGCTTCAGTCAGGCTCACCTTGAACGCGAGTGCCCGTTCTGTTTCCAGCTCCGCTGCTTGCCTAGACAAGTCTCTCCTTCCAGCCCTCCCTTTTGTCCGTTTTGCTCGAAATCTGAAGACCATCTTCCGACGTTTGTGCAGGGCCTGCCACAATAAAACAGTCACCAGGCTGCAACAACTAGGCATTGTTCTAATAAGAAGATAAAGGTGGAAGAAGGGAACTCGAGAGGTTGCCTAGGTTGTCTGTCACGTTGCTTCAAACTCACGATTGGCTCTCTTCTGAGAAACATGAGTTGAATTTGTTCTTAAATGTCAAGTGATACAGACTTCCTTTCCCTGCCCCACCACAGACAAACTATCCCCAGGCTTTGTTGTCTGTATAGTTAGTTTTTCTTAGTGCTAGCCTGAACCTCCACAGCTACAGTTTTAGCCCAGGACTCCGTCTAATCCACAGTGGAAGTGGGGAGCTGAATATTCCTTTCCTTTTTGCAGCTGCCTTTTATATATTTGAACCTTTTTAGCATAGTCTCTCTTAGTCTTCTCTTCCCTAGCCTGAAAACCCCAATTCAATGGATTATTCCTCACAGGTCATGTTTTCCAGACCTCTGCGCGTTCTTGTCGCTCTGCCAAATGCCAGAGTGTGGTGCTTGCACTTCTCAGGGTCAGGACCCGTGTGGTCATGCCAGGAGAGTGTGGGAAGCTCAGGGTCACGGGTGAAAATTGTTGCGGTCTTCAGGCATTCACGTCACGTGCGTGCTCAAAACCGGCTGCTGGAGAGCTTGTGATGCCTGAGTCAAGATGATAGCCATTCACGCTGAATGATGGCTCTCTTTAGGGGTGGGGAGATTTATATAGCAACCCTTCTCTCCATGCTGGGCTGAGAAAACGGTGCTCAGGGCCAGACGTGGAACGTGCTGGTGCGAGTTTGAGTGAATCTAATCAAAATCACCAAACTGCACTGCTTTCGTGCTGTGTAGGATCTAGCGCGCTGACCGTGGCACCCCCAAGCCAAATCTGCCCACTTCTGGGGGAAGAGCTGGCACATATTTTCCAGTCCACAGCATCGCTGAGCACAGATCGTTCCTCCTCAGCTAGAAATCCTGCTTTGACTTGCAGAAATCTGCAGGGTGGATTTAAGCCAGTGGGATGTAATTAGGCAAAGTGGAATCCAGAGAGGGCTCCGCAGAAGCTCTCATCTGCCCCTTAATGGGAGCTGTGCACGTTTGCTCCAGTTTGTACACCTTGGGCTTAAGACGAAGCTGCAGACAGCTGGGAGAACTCTTTTTATAAGCCTGACGAGCAATATCTTAGTACTGCTAATTGTTCTCACGGCGTGCCTGGAATTGGCAGGGGCTTTCATGTTTTCTTAAGCTGCCTCATTATCTGGGATAACGAAAATCTGGGAAAGCTGACCTTTTGGAAAACGGTTATTGCTCCTTGGATGCTGCTTGTGCCAGCCGCTGAGCCACCTCTAGCTCGTTGCAGGGAGGCAGGGGAGGAGGCATATTCAGGGCATGTTCCCAAAGGGTTTGATTTGTCATGGGCGCAGAATTGACCCTTTACTGAGGAGAGGTCGAGGAAAAGAGCTGGTTTCACCTTCCACCTCCCATTTGCACATCCACATACATGTAGGGAGGAGACATGCAGGTCATGAGGAAGAGGATAGAGCAAAACATGCATCCCTTCAGTTACAATCCAGCGCTCCTAACCCTTGGGGCAGCAACAATGTTCTGCTGCAAGGAGTTTGGCAGGTGAAAGGGGCCATATTTTTCTCATTGTTGCTCAAGCCTGATGAGATTTTTGTGAGATCTGGTTTTTGGTGTAGCTGCCTGACTAAGCGCTTGGTCTCACACCTGGGCTGCCTAGCAAAGGGGAGTGCTGTGAGGCCAGAAGTGCAGTACGAGGTGCATGGGCTGAGTTGCTCAATGTTTATGAGGAGGGTTTGAGCCTTAGGACGGGGAGGAGGTTTAACTGCAGGGTACTACCTTGCCCTGCAGACTGTCAAGTCCTTCTCACCTCTTGGGGAAAGCCTTTTTCTCTCTTTGATGTTATGACCTAGGCTTAGGAAGAAGGGCATGAATCCATGCAGCAGATGAACCAGATTCAGAGGGGTGGGGAAATGAGCCCAGCAGCACCAGCACTGCCACATCCACTCATCTGTGTTTTCTCCCCTTATCATCCCTTTCTCCCAGGGCTACACGTCCTTCTGGAATGACTGCATCTCTTCAGGCCTGCGAGGCGGCATCCTCATTGAACTAGCGCTGCGTGGCCGGATCCAGCTGGAGCCGCTCACCATGAGAAAGAAGCGGTTGCTGGACAGGAAGGTAAAGGTACCGCAGGAGCTGGTCTGTCCTTCACCTTAGATAGTCCGAGCTGGGGTTGGGAGGAAAAGTAACCGCAGAGCGATTTGCCCTGCCTCAGACCCCCTGTGTGATCTGGCTGGGATTTGAAGTCCCCTGGGCAGGTTTCCTGGCCTCTCAGCCAGCTTTCTGATCCAGGCTTGGGGTGGCTTCTTTTGAGCCCTGCTTTGTGTTCAAGCAGGCTCTGGTCAAACAGCTCCAAGTACCAGCACCTTCCCTGGAGCTTGACAATGCCTTCCAGGCCTTTGGGTGGCAGCTGTGTAACTGCAGTTCCACTGATTGCAGCCTGGGCTCCACCCACCCCTGTCAGATCTGGTTTTAGCGTGCTTTGCAGAAGCAGGGTTGAACCCTGGGTCTCTTGGTGATCTCTTGGGAACGAGGCAGCAAGTCTGTGTCCCGGTCTGACCCCATGTTTTCACTTGGTTCTTCTAGGTGGTCTTAAAGTCAGATGCTCCAACTGGTGATGTCTTGCTGGATGAGACCCTCCGCCACATCAAGGCTACAGAGTCTGCAGAAACAGTGCAGACCTGGATAGAGCTGCTCACTGGTAGGCCCAGTTAGGGACATGGGCGCTCCAGTTCTTTCTGGGCCTGTCCCTGCATCCTATCTCCTCTCTGTGGCTTGGCCATGCCCTGGCTTGACTGGAGACAGGCAAAACACCTGGCTGAGAACACCTGGCAGAACAGGGGAAGGCTGAACATGGGAGCAGGGAAAGGTTTTCCAGATCTTATTTGCTGGGAACTCAGAGGAAGTCTGGACCTTGCTCTTCATCATCTACTTTTAATGCTGAGTCTTTAATGAGTCTTGGGTCCTGAGGTTCTGGGTAGAAGGGATTTTGCAAAGGGATCCACCTCAGGCTGCTGCACCTGCTGGGAGCTGCTGGGAGCTTTGCCAATGGGAATTGATAGGGATGGAGTTATGGGGAGCCAGGGCAGCGATAGCAAGGAAGAGCAGGTCAGAGTGCAGCTGACAGGAGGAGGAAGAGGCTGGAAAAGCGTTCCTGCAAGAGGGACTTGTGGCTTTGTGGACATGGATCATCCTGGGCAGGAAATAGCATGGGAGTTGGGGCTGAAGAACAGCTTGTGGGTGGGACAGAGGGCAAGGCTCTGCCTGCCCCTGGGCCAAATTGGATCGTTTCTCCTGCAGGAGAAACCTGGAACCCTTTCAAACTGCAGTACCAGCTGAGGAATGTCCGTGAACGCATAGCCAAGAACCTGGTGGAGAAAGGCATCCTCACCACAGAGAAGCAGAACTTCCTGCTCTTTGACATGACCACCCACCCCGTCAGCAATGCCACTGAGAAGCAGCGGCTGGTCAAGAAGCTCCAGGAGAGCATGCTGGAGCGCTGGGTGAATGACCCCCACCGCATGGACCGCAGGACTTTGGCTCTCCTGGTGTTGGCCCACTCCTCGGACGTGCTGGAAAATGTTTTTGCCAGCCTGGCAGATGACAAGTACGACTTGGCTATGAACAGGTCCAAGGACCTCCTGGATTTGGACCCTGAGATGGAAGCTCCCAAAGCCAAAGGCACAGAGATGATCTGGGCCGTCCTGGCGGCTTTCAACAAGTCCTAATCACCCCCCAAAGCCCCACAAACTGGACAGCGGAGCTTCACCCTCTCAACACGGGGCCAAGAATATTTGGGCACAGAACTTCCTGTAGCACCGGGTGGGCTCTGCTCTGTTGGGGCTTGTGTGTTCAGCTCTTTCCCCGCGCCTTCCCTTGGCAGGGGTGGAAAGGATGAGTGTGTGTGTGTGTGTGTGTGTGTGTGTATGACACATCTAAACTGTGCCTGTGCCTCTGGTGAGATGAGGTTACAGCTCTTAAATCCCCTTGCGGTGCTTCTCACCAACATACTTCCCTCTCTTCAGAGCAACACAAAGCTGGGAGGGCTGTGAGCTTACGCGCTGCTTGGGCCCCGCTCGGCCCTGGCTTTGCGCGCAGGAACCAAACTGCTCAAATGGTCCAAACCACGGTGAAAACAGACCAAGTCAGGCTAGAAATGGGCCAGCGGAGCAGCCTCTGCTCCCTGCCGTCCCTGGGATGCGCTCCTGGCGCCCGGGCTGGCTCCATGACTGCCTTTCACACGTGAACACCAAGGTTTTGCTTGCTCTCGCCGGCTTTACACTGGAAGCAGAGGAGGTTTCTGAGACCAGCCTTGGGGCAGGGAGGACGTCCTGTTTGCAGAGTTACTTGGGAGATGGGTTTTTCCTTACGGACTTCTTTGGGAAGTTGACGGGGCAGGGAGAGCGATTCAGTGCTGGAAGGATTTAGGGATGCTGCTGTCTTTTGGGGCTCACTGTGAGGGTGACACTTGTTTGTCCAGCCTCCTTCCTACCGAGTTCTGGGGCCTGTGACTCCTGGGATGCCCTCGGCTTGCTGGGGGAGCATGGAGGAAGTGTGTTCTGGGATATGCCGTGGCTGCCGTTTCCGCATGGACAGGTTCTGACCTATTTACTGGCTGGAGAAGCCAAGACCTTGCCACAGATCTGTGAAAAGGAGCTGTTCACTGTTTTTTTGACTTTCATTTTTTAAACCTGGATGTAGCTAAACACACTCATGTACTTATTAGGTAGCTCTGACAGGAGGGGTGCTGAGAGATGGGCCATTTCAAGCCGCAAGCCTGGGGCACCGAGGGTGTCCGTAATCCCAGCCCAGAGCCAGAATTTCCCAGGAATTTCCCGGCTGACTGGATGCCGCAGGCATTTCCCTGGTCCCCAGCGTTTGCTTGGGGGCTGCCAGGGAAAGCCAAAAGCTTTCAGAGCTCATCGGCATCGAGGGAAAAGTACTTCCCAGGCGCTGGCCCGGAGCAGAGCGGGCAGGAGAGGACAGGTGAAAGGGCCAGGCAGCCGGGGGGCTCCTGCACCTGCTCCCGAGACGCTCTCCAGGGCCAGATCGCTGCCCAGCTGAGCCGTGCTCTGGGCTGTGCTTGACTCTTTTTAGGAAGAGATAAGTCACTTTAGGAAAAGTTAAACTGTGATTTTTTTGTTTTCTTTCTTTCTCCTCTCTAATCTCCTTTTGTGAGCGTTAATGTATTTTGCCGCACCCTGAGGGAGTCTTGGGTATTTAAATCTGTAGTCCGTAGCCCCCGTGGGTCCAACTGCTCTTTATAATAAAAGGGTTTTACATTTGAATGTGTGTTCGCAGCTCTCTGGTGCGGCGGAGTCCTCCAAGCCTGCGAAGGTCGCAGTAAGTGGCTCAGTGGCATGCATGCACCGAACTTGCTGGGTCTCAGCCTTTGCTCCTCGCCCTGGCCAAGCAGCATCTGCAAAGGGGGGCATGGAGGGGCCACAGCTGCTGCATTTCTGCCTGGGTGCTGCTGTCTCCAGCCTCCCTTCCCTCTCTCCCAGGCCCCAGTGTGACTTTGCGCCGTCTTGGGAGATCCAGCGACCCCAAAGATGCTCTAGAAACCTCCAAAACTTCCCTAGTTAAAGCGAATCCTTTCCAAAAAACCCTTCCCTTCTTCTCTCGTGGGGTTCATAGGTGCCCTTGCTCCCCCAGCCTGAGCCTCCGTAAGAAGAAAGAAAAGCAAGAGGAGGGGAAAACGGGGAAATCGCAGGGCACAGCAACTGGAAGTCACCCTAGAGCCAGATCCTCTCACATTACCCATGCGGGGGGCCAGGCCGGCAACCCAGGCGGCTCCCTTGGGCTCGGAGGAGCCGCGGCTTCGCCGCGGCTTCGCCTTGCGTCCGCAGCGCGGCTCGATGCGTCCGTCAACGCGGCAGCGATGGCGCCGCAGCCCTGGCAACGGCACCCACGGGTGCCCCGAATACCCGCCTTGGGTGCCCCCTGCGGTCCCCGAGCAACGAGCTGGGGGCAAAGGGAAACCCTGTCCGTCGCCCCCAAGCATTGCCTGCTGCCTGCGGGGGTTTGGGGTGGAAAAGGGAGAAAAGGGGGCTTTGCGCCCACAGCAGGGCAAGGGAGGGTGCTGCTGCGGGAGCAAGGCCCTGGCCAACAGGGACCCTTTTGGGTGATGCGCAGTGACGTCCCCCAAGAGACACCGTGAACGAGCGGCTTGCCCTGCTGCTGAGGAAAAGCTCCTTTGATTAAATATAGGGAAAAAATCCTTAAAATGTGGGGTTTTTTCTCCCTAGGAGGTGGAGGTGGCCCCTGGGACAGGACCCCCATAAAGCCTTTGAGGATAGCGTGGGGGTGATGCACACCCAGCCCCCCAGGTGGCCTCACTGAGGAGTGAGGACACCCAATTTGCCTGTCCGTCCATCCATCCATGGGTGGAAATAGCTGCTCCGCGTGCCTTGGTTTCCCCTTCGAGGCATCACTGGGGGGGTTTTAAAGCAGGTGCCGCAGGGAGGCCCCGAAACGGTGGCGTGGGTGCAGGTGGGGGGGGTGCCAGGGTGCTCAGCCCCCCTGCTCACGTCGGCGCGCGCACGCGCATCTCCCACCCCGCGCATCGATCGGGGCC